GCACCCTAAAACCACCCATGTGCACCCCAAGACACCTCCATGCACCGAAATTGCACCCCAAGGGACCCACCTGCACCCCAAGGGCACCCCAAGAGCACCCTAAAGGAACCTCAGTGCACCCCAAGACACCCATCTGCACCCCAAGAGCACCCCAGGGTGTCTAACTGCACCCCAAAGGACCACTCTGCACCCCAAGAGCACCCCAAGGAACCTCTTGGCACCCTAATTACACCCCAAGAGCACCCCAGGGTGCCTATTTGCACCCCAAAGGACCTCCCTGCACCCCAAAAGCACCCACATGCCCCCCCAAGGGACCTCCCTGCACCCTAATTGCACCCCAAGAGCACCCCAGGGTGCTGCTGTGCTGCACCCTAATGCAACCCCTGCCCCATAGCGGCCCCTGCCCCATAGGGACCTCCCACCCCATAGAAACTCCTGTCCTATAGGAACCCCTGCCCCATAGGGACCCCTGCCCCATAGAAACTCCTATCCTATAGGAACCCCTGCCCCATAGGGACCCCATACTACAGCTTAGCTCCCCTCTGCCCCATAGGAGGCTCTGCCCCATAGGGAACCCCTGCCCTATAGGAACCCCTTCCCCATAGGAACCCCTGCCCCATAGAACCTCATACTACAGCTTAGCTGACCCCTGCCCCATAGGGACCCCCTGCCCTATAGGAACCCCTTCCCCATAGGGTCCCCTGCCCTATAGGAACCCCTTCCCCATAGGGTCCCCTGCCCCATAGGGACCCCATACTACAGCTTAGCTGACCCCTGCCCCATAGGGACCCCTGCCCCATAGGGACCCCATACTACAGCTTAGCTCCCCTCTGCCCCATAGGAGGCTCTGCCCCATAGGGAACCCCTGCCCCATAGAAACCCCTGCCCCATAGAGACTGCTGCCCCATAGGGATCCTATACTACAGCCTAGCTGACCCCTGCCCTATAGGATCCCCTGCCCCATAAGAACCCCTGCCCCATAGAATCCCACACTTCAGCTTAGCTTCCCCCCTGCCCTATAGAGAACCCCTGCCCCATAGGTTCCCCTGCCCCACAGGAACCCCTGCCCCATAGGACCCCCTGCCCCATAGGGACCCCATACTACAGCTTAGCTGCCCCATAGGGACCCCCTACCCTATAGGAACCCCTGCCCCATAGGGACCCCATACTACAGCTTAGCTGACCCCTGCCCCATAGGAACTCCTGCCCTATAGGGACCCCTGACCCATAGGGACCCCCTGCCCTATAGGAATCCCATACTACAGCTTAGCTTCCCCCCTGCCCTATAGAGAACCCCTGCCCCATAGGTTCCCCTGCCCCATAGGGACCCCTTAATCCAGCCTTGCTACCCCCTACCCTATAGGGACCCTGCCCCATAGAACCTCATACTACAGCTTAGCTGACCCCTGCCCCATAGGGACCCCGGCCCCATAGGACCCCTTGCCCTATAGGGACCCC